GAGTACATGTCTCCATGCTCTTTAGAAGGAGGTCTATTTCACTCTTGTGCCATTTGGTCGATGACAGTTTCACAGTAAACGTAGTCAGCACTTTTTGGTGTGGTTGTTTCCTCATACAAACATACAATGGAAATTAATCAAGCTTTCAAATTAATCAATAAATAAAGTCTCACAATGTTATACAGTAATGTTTACTGATGAATTATGCTCTACCACAGTTCACAAGTCTATTTTCTAGTTTTGACATGAAAACGTCTGCAGGTGACTGGTCAAGTGGTGAACCCGAAGGTTTACCATCTTTTTGTCGGTATATTTCGTTATTGAAAGAGAACTGGAAGTTTAAGGTGAGTCTCAAATTAGAGTTCCTTCAAATACTCATTGGGTGTACCAGTGTTCACCCCCCTTTGAATCAATATTTCCACATATTTTAGATAAGTATCCTGCTCTGTATGTCAACTCCAACTACATTTACCAACTGACCTGCACTTGCAGCAGTAAGTAAATAGGAAGGACTGAGTGAAGAAGAGCGTCCACTAGGTTCTCCGAGCACATCCCGGAAAGTCTCCCTCTATGAAATGCAGCAAAGTGTTCCCAAGCTCAATCACCAGATATCTGAATGATACGGGATAGACAATGCCAGTCAGTCAGGCTTTCAAGATAATCAGCGCACAAAGAAAAGCATGGTTACTTCGGTTTTCAGGAGCCATTGTGACCATCAAAAGACTTTGACCCAACCTATGCATACAGAAAGAGAGTGTGACTAATCTCTCACTCCCCTGGTAAACATAATTGTTTTGTCCTGTTGCATACATAACATTCCGCTTAATCTTGATTTTGATTTTCACTTTCTGACTGAGTTGAACTCACTATTAAGATTTTGAATCTACTAAATTAAATTATTTTATCTACTTTATAATTCTACTTTACTATTCAACCCCACCCTTCTGAACTCTCCACCATAATATGCAGAAATTCACTCTGGCGTTCTATCTTGTATTTTGCCTCTGGTCCATCCTTGTTTCCCAACGAAATCTGAAGTCTACCAGAAGTCTCCTTGTCTGATTTCTATATAAATAGTTACTCTTTTAACACTGAATAACTTGGCTACTTACATCATCTTAGAAAGTATGTTACTTATGCTTTCTATGTATAACTTGAAATCTTTGTAAAAAGTATGTTCAGACACTATTTTGTAACATTAAATTGATTTATTCAGGATGTATGCAGTTGAAGAGAATCCACGAAATAAAATGAGTTGGTATTATCCTGCAAATATGCTCGTTCTTTCTTTTTTTTTCAAACTATATCAATATATCTACTGGGTGATTTACCTAGCTTCTTGAAATTCTTTAGGATTCTTAGTACTTTCACTGTTTGAAATTTCTATATTTCTCTAGACAGATTACTGTCTTTGATTGTTTTCATGTTTTGATGTAAAGGCCAGTTTATGTTCATGAATTTGAAGTTGAAACTGAAGTCCACTTTGACCAGTATTCTATTTTTTTCATAGTTGATGCTATAAATTTCATCCAGAATTCTAAAGACTTACTTCACACTAAAGTTAGCACTAAGCATGTTGTCTAGAAGGATAAATCGTTCAGCTGGAAGACCACGACTACACTGAAAGCATCCATCGAAGCTAAAAATCTTTCTCAGCACTTCCACTATTTCGTTTATTTCACTTCTCCCGTCTTCGTGGGTAATATTTGAAATAATCTTTCGTATATAGCCTAAGGTATTATTCTTAGATGTGGTGGACTGGATTATGTGTCAGACTGTTGAGGGCGAGGAGTCAGGAATACGCTGGACGACCGATAAGAAGACTCTAGAAGATCTGGATTTCTCAGATGAAATATTTCTAGTACCACACAAACTGGTAGACTTGCAAGCGAAAACCAACAAACTGGCTGAAGAGGCAGGCAGCGAATAATAAAGGACTCCAGGTGAACATAGAGAAGGCGGAGGCAATGAAGATAGCCAACTAGTCCACCAACGGCAACAACAACCGGCACCGGTCACCATAAAAAGGAGAGACTTAACAGAGGTTGCCTCATTCACTTATCTGGTTAGGAAGCATCGTCTGAACTACAGATGGAACGGACGAAGATGTCAAAGCCAGTCAGAATCGGAAAGGTAAGATACACCTTCATCAGCCTGAAACCAGTTTGGAAATCTTCTGCATTCCACGTCAGCATCAAGAACAAGATTCGAATTCACAACAGTAATGTGAAGTCGGTTCTTGTATGTTGATCATAAACTTGCACTGCGTGTCGCGAAAAGGATTTTCAACAGATTGCAGGCTTTCATCAGTAGCTACTCACTTCGCTGGCTGGCTCCATACCGAAGATGAAATGGCCAGAAAGAATAAGCAACAAGAAACTCTGTCTGGAAACAAACCAAAAGGTGAGAGCCGATTTCTTAACAAATATGTTGGAGAAAATGGAGATGGATTTATGGGGAATACATTGAGGAAACTTTCGAGTGAAATCTCGATGGGAGGCGACGATTGGGTCGTCCTAGGGTGACACGGAAGAGATCGTGTGAGGAAGAGATGAGAGAGTTTGGTCAATCGTGGACCCAGCTGAAGAGGACGCAGAAAACAGGAAAAAGTGGAGGTGTGTTGTTGAAGCCCTATGTTCCACTTGGAACGTAAGGGAATAATAATAATAATATTAAAATTGCCATTGGCTCCTTATATTTTTATTATTACTACTATTATTACTGAAATTACTTTTATTATTTCGACAGGTGCTCGTACTGGTATTTGAGGAGTGAGTTTATGTCAGCATTTCCTATATTAAGTAATGATTTGGGCGCTTTTTTGTACTGCTTACTTCTCCTATCAAGAGCAAGATACCTCTGAGGAAATCGCTTATACAATTTAAAAAACCATGATCACATCGTCTACGTCTGAAAGTTTATTCCTTGCATCGAATTTCAAAGAAATGGGTTCCTGTGCCGAAGTAAGTCTTTCCAGTACCCCGTAGTGATTCATTCATTCATTCAAAGCAACAGTGAATCCCAGATGAACGGCAAAAAAGTAAAGATGATTAACACAGGCCGAAAACCTACGATAATTTTCAAGTGTTGCTTTGCAGGGATTTGACTGGTTTCAGATTTGACCATGATTTAACATCAGTCAGAGAAACATTGGAAAACCACTGTGAAGTACTGAACAGATGTTTCGTCCTAGTTTGGGGTTCCTCATCAGCACTCACACACACACTTGGTTTTGAACCCAGAGCCTTCCGGTCACAAGTAAAACCAGGCCGTAGACGGTTCGATCACTAGGACCCGATCCAAAGGAGCCATTAATTCTAACTCCTGCCAATTCGGGATATAGATAACACAAACGCCAGCCAGTATCACAGGAAAGTAATTGTTCTCTTAACTGCATTGGTAAAGCTCACTAGTTACGATTTCTCAGTAGAACTCCTGTATAGAGCCAGTCGCCAGTGATCATCAGATTGGCTATCAAGCGTTTGTTTGCAGTGATTTCACTGGCTATAGGTTTGATTACGCGTTGAAATCAATTAGAAAAGTCACGACCAGTGGGTTCCACCGAGTCAGGTGAAAGAATAATTGCTCACCTATGATACTGACTGGTGGATGCACTGTGTATATAACCAGAAAGTCATGGGTTCGAACCCCAGTGGTTATGTACTGATGAAGAGTCCCAGACCAGGAAGAAACAGCTGTCCAGTACTCCACTGTGGTTTCTCAATGGTTCTCTGACTGATATCAACTTAAGTATATTTGCATTTCCAAATAACTGATTTTATTGAACTGAAAGGTTTCAAATGTGTTAAGATGTTGGTTCCGAGTACATACCCTTCAACGATGTCTTCAGATTAACGCATTTCATTTTATTCAAGCCTCGTTCAGTTAGATAGATCTGCATCCCTAGTGGGAATATCATTGATTACTCAGTAAAGATGCAGGTACACTCAGGTGAGGAGTCCAATTATTTCAATTATTATTGTTTCCTTTAGTTCCTAGAGGAATATAGGGCTTCAGCCGCCCACATCTCCATTGTGTTCTGTTCTCTATCAACGTTTTCACCTGGTTGCATGTCTACCCACATGCTTTCATCTCCTCTTCACATCACCTTCTCATCCATGTCACCCTCGCACTGACGACCAACTCGCCTCTTCTCATTCGAGTTCCACTCAAGCAATGGTCTGGTGTGTGATGTCACTTACTTGATGGTTCGTTTTCTCAGAGTATGGCCAATCCACCTGCATTTCTTCCTGCATATTTGTTGCACAATTAGTTCCTGCTCAGTTGGTTCGTTCATTGCCAGAGATTCCTCACCGTTGCCGATCTTTTCTAGCCGGCTATCTGATCTTGAGAGAAGTACTGAGCGAAGATAGCTGTTGATGAAGGTTTGTAGTTTGTTCGAAGTGGTCTTCGTGACGCGGTGTGGCGCCAAGTTTCTGATCCATATATTAGCACTGACTGATGAAGAGTCCTAAGTAAGACGAAATACGCATCCTGGATTCTAGCACTAGCCACTACCAATCAGAGAGCACTAAAGCCTACTATGCTTAATAATCTATAAAGTACAAACCTATATGGTAACTAAATAATATATAACACTATTAACACACTAAACCAATCAATCTTTAAAACGGTATTATTCGTTAGCGTATCTTATTCTCATAAGTATTGTATAACACGTAATTCTAATTTATTCATAGTAAACTAATGTCCGATAATTCAACTTTTTGTGATGATTTAAACAAGTGTTCAAAAACATCAAACATTTTGCTAAAATTAATAAACCAAAGTTCAGTTAGAGATAAATCACAAAGTTAAGCATAACTTGTATACTGACTAAATTAGACTGTTTTTAAAATATAACGCGATAACCTTGAAATATAGAATGGAATATTGTCATTTAATCACCTTGAAAATCTGACAAAACAAAAAAAACGATTTTAGATGCACAGACTTATATTATATAAACAATTAGATTATTGAGACTTAATTGTTACACAATGTATATGTTAATAGCTTTACAAATCATTTTATACAGTTCCAGTGTAAAATCATGGAATGTTTATGGATTTTTAGAATCAAAGATTCCAGAACAAATACATATTGCTTTAGGAGGTGAGTAGGTCATTCTCTTTTTTTTTATGGTTTTGCTTTTTTTGTTTGTTCTGCGTCGGTGCCACAGCGATAGAATGCTCGCCGATCACGCATTATGTGGTCCAGGGTTCGATTCCCGGCCAGCAGACACACTCCTTTACCTCGCTAAGCCAGTAATAAGACTGGTAAAGAGGGAGGGTTGGGCATGAGGCTAGCAACTTCATCCCGTAAAAAATCAACATCACTGCTACAGAAACTTCAAGACTCTCGCTTGAAGCTCTATGTTCCACTGGGAACGTACAGTCTAACAGAAATGTGAAGTAAGCTAACTGGAGTTAGGATTACTTGAACTAGTTCAACTTTCTGATCTGAGTTAAATCGGATACATCACTGATGAACTTGGCTCTGGGTAAAGGGGGAAATGGTTCTCTTAGTGTTTAAATAACTTCAATCTGATTAGCTAATAAGCACTAAAGTTTGTTGGATATGAGCGGTATTCAACTGCTCGGATCAATCAATAGCATACACTGTCGTGCTAATTCATTTTGCTTTCAAGTATTGGTTTGTAGGGATTTGATTGATTAATTACAGGATTTCATCTTGAGCTGAAATCGGTTAGAGAACTATTGAGAAACCTGCAGAGAGTACTGGACAGATGTTTCGTCGGCCTAGTTTGGGACTCTTCATAGGTACACACCCACTACAGGGGTTCGAACTCAGGACCTTCAGCTTATAAGGCGAGCTCGACACAGAAGGTCCTGGGTTCGAGAACTTGGTGAGTGAGTACTGTTGAAGATTCCCAAACTAGGACGAGATAGCCATCCAGTACTCCCTGCAGGTTTTCTAGTGGTTCTCGAACCGATGTCAGCTCATGATGAAATCATTTTGCTTTCTTGATAATAATTTAGGGTATCAAGTATGATTGTGTGATTGTATATTCTCCATTAATTGATCTTCATTGGATCTAAATATTCAGTCTCTATTGATATGTCAGCCTAACATAATAATAACCCTCAGACACGGTTGAATTATGCGTAGTAGAAGTTGCCATTTCATCAGAGATTGAATATTTCGATACAATAAAAATAAATCATCGCAAAACACGAAAAATGCCTTGAACAAATTTGTTTATCAAATAACAAAATAATTGGGCAAAGAATATCCTTTTTGATAATTTCCTCTTCTGATTCAGGACTAAAAGATAAACTGCCTAATTTTGCCTCTTCCATATGTATCTACCAATTTGAATGGTCCTTTGGAGTGATTCAGTTATATAGGCCTTACAATTAGGCGTGTTTCTCGTCGGATTTACGAACATCACCCTGCATAGTGGTTGGTTAAGTAAAGGATAAACAAAATCTATTCACAAAGCGCTATTCTTTCTCATCTTGTGGATGCAGAACACAAGATTGATGTCAACCCGGCAGATTTCAAAGTCATTCACGGCATACCACCAAATCTTAACTTCGCCTTGAGAGTTCGTTTACTAAATATTGCTGAGGCTGACTGTTGGGATCCACATTAAGAAGCTTAATTTGTGCGTCCAAAAGAAGCTAGTTCAGATATTTTCCTTACGCCCACTGTCCATCTAGGTTTGAATGATCATGAATGTTTGTGGAATTTTCCTCATAGACATTTGCTATTACATTTTAATGCTTATTATTATAATTTATGCATCTTTAATGAACTGTAATTCCAGTGATCTTACTTAACAAATCGATATTATTTAAAAACACACCAATATTGTTATTGACTACTAATCTAGAATATTCTATGTATATAAACATATATATATATAATTGTAGAGCCAGAAGAGGAAACTGTCGTAAAGGATATCCTCCGCTCAATTATTTTGTTTTTTCCCAGATGTCTGAATGAATATTTTCGCTATATTAAAATTTGTTTATGTTCAACATGGGAATAAAAATATAGGAAGTTTACAAAGCTTATCCTGTTGAAATACTTCCGAAAAAGGGAGAGAGAGACATTTTGGGTGGAGTGAACTCTGATTTTATAATTCCTGTTAAACTGTTGTATAAAAATTAGGGACAGAATAAAGAGAATAGTCAGTAATACAAATTAGTAAGTAGTGTTTATCTTACTTTAAGTAATGTGTGAAATATTATTTTCATTCTTTTGATATCCAAACTGTAGCACAGAGCTTTAATCTTTGAAATTTCGCTAGCGGGGGTATTGTTGTTATACAGTATAGGGTTACCAGCCTCATATCTAGCGTTCTGTATTTAATGGGCTTATTACTGGTTTAGCGAGACTTTAGAAGTGCGTCGACAGGGAATCGAACTCCGGGCCCCATTCATGATTGCCAAGCAATCTACCAATGAACTACCGACCACAAGAATGATAATAATATTCAACGTACGACATAAACTAGAAACAAGGAGCGAGAAACATAGAAAGAAGGTAGTTTATGTGTCGCGGGACACAGCAGGACACGAGGATATGATATGATTACGTGTTTAATGACCTGTGGTGGGCTAAGAAATACGTGGAGTTTGAATGTACTCCTTTTATTAATGTATTATTGTTGTTATTATTACAGTTCATTCCTGTAATTCCGATTGGAAAATGTGACTTCAGCAGCGTATATGCTTTGCACTTGGTCCTTTGTTGTCACTTTCACCTGCCTTTACCGCTACCCACAAGCTTTCGTTTTGTCATCACACAGCTTAGGATATGATTTCACTGAATGGCCTCCTTAGGGTGTGTCCAATTCGTTTCAATTTCTTTTTCCATTTTTGCAAAGTAACAGACTTTTGGGTGGTCCTTTTATTGTCAGAATTCCTTGTTACTGATCCTTTCTGGCCATTCGACTCTCAGTGTCAAGGTTAGCGGGGAGTTTTTGATGAAAGTTTTAAGCCTGCTGGGGACGATTTTAGTGACATGCCAAGATTCTTAAATATGCAGAAGTATTAAGTAACCTGACACCAGTGTGAGATACTAGGATCTTTATTCTTGTATCGATTACTGCACATCACCACACCGATGCGTAGATTAGATTTACTTTTGGTAATGAAAAACTACTTGGGCAGAGCGCCCCCAGGTATTCAGCCTATAACCTTAAATGTCTCTTTTATTCTTCTTCAACTATTTATTACTATAATATTATTATTGTTCCCTTGGATTCACAGTGGAATATAAGGCCTCATTAACACATCTACACTTCCTTGTATTCTCTGCTGTCCCATCCAGCTGGCTGACCACGCGATTGTCCATAATCTTCCATCTCCTCCTCCTCAACATATGATGACCTCCATGTCAACCCTGCACCGACGACTCACTCGCCGCTTCCAATTCACCTTCCACTAGAGCAATGGCATGCAGTACGCGCGATGTCATTCGACGGTCCATCTCCATTCTCTTCCACATATTTGTTGAGCCGTCGGCTCCCGCCTGTTGGTTGGTTCCCAGCCTAGGTTTCTTCGTTCTACTTCTCTCTGGCCGGCTATTTGATCTTCAGTATGGAGCCAGCCAGCGAAGTGGGCAGGCAGTTGTTGATAAAAGTCTGTAACTTGCTGGAAATCCACTTCGTGTCAGGCATTGTGAGTTTCCGATCCATATAGAAGAACTGACTGACTAACTTGACATTTGTGTTGAAAATTCGAATCTTGTTCTGTATGCTGAGGAGGAATGTAGAAGATTTCCAAACTGGTTTCAGGTTGATAAGGGTGTATCTTGCTTTTACGATTCTGGCTGGCTGCCTGGCTTTGACATCTTCATCCGTTCCCACTACCTGTGGTTGGAGTAGTGCTTCCTAGCCAGATCTCTCCCGTTGATGGTGATTGGTGTTGGTTGTTCATGTTGCTGCTGTTGGTTGGTTGGTTGGTTATTTTCATCACCTCCATCTTCTCTATGTTCACCTGGAGTTCTGTCTTCGCCGCCTGCTCGCATCTTCTCCCAGTTTGTTGGTCTTCGCCTGCCTGCAAGTCTTCCGGTTTCAATGACATTAAACATAAATCATCTTTGCACGAAATCCAGATCTTCTTTAGTCTTCTTATCGATCAGTGCAGCGTATTCCTGCCTCCTCACTCCCAACGCACAGTCTTCTGCATAATCCAGTCTACCAAAATTAAGAATATCATTGGTGATAAGAAGCAGTCAGTCTTGTCTTACTCCAGTATTTACTTTGAACACCTCGCTGAGTTTTCCGTTGTGGTATTTTCATATAGCTAGCTTTTGAATGACGTTAATAAAGATTTGAGCACTGTACACTGTAGTGTTGAATCAGTTTTCAAATTACTTCTTGGTCGACGCTGTCTATCGAAGGCCTTCTCGAAGTATATAAAGTTGAGGTAGAGAGAGGTTTGACTGCCATTCTATGCGAGTTAGCCACCTAGTAATCTAGACGAGGTTCTTCAACTGTTTGATCACATATTTTTATTACTATAATTACTTATTTTGAATACATCATCCGATATTTATTCATTGTAAAACAAACATAATATAGTTGAATACGTTTCTTATTCCAATTTACAAATAATAGAGAAGATTTTTACCTCTGGTGGATGACTGTGGGGTAGTTTTACTTTGTGAGCTAGGCAGTTTAATTATGAGGCTTTGATTGTTTTTCTATACAATTACATTGTCATGCTCTAAAGTTATCTCTGAAGCGATGTTGTGTAGAAGGGAAATGGAAGTAATTTAATTTTCCAGTGAAAAAACCACCAAACACACTAATGAATTTTTTCTGAAGTGTGACTGAATTGTGCGATTTATATCTCTGCTTGGTGTAATTGTCGCATATGATGGAGAAGGTTTGTAGCTCAGGTGGATGAATTTGATGCAGTTTTGTTCTCTGAGCTGGATGGTTCACTTGCGAAGCTTTCATTGCCTTACTAGGCAACATATTCAGCGCATACTTCATTTTGAAGGAACTTCTAAATTTCTCCACTAGTTTATTAGTCATCTCTCCCGGCGACAACCTTTAACGTGATTGGTTGTTTTTGTGTGTTCTCACACCCTCTAGGCTACTTTTATTCGTATTGGTGTTGATTGTTTCCTTGACCTGAAGTTTGACCCTTTGTGTGTGAGGTCTCCTTTTGTTTGTATCAATGTGCCTATTGATTGATAATTCACTGGAATACCAGACTTGGTGTTTCCTCTGTCTAATATTTGAACATTGGTTGTCCCATTGATCTGATGTCCGTGGTTGTCTGTATGTGGCGAGTGATATGATGGGGTGGATGTCATGTCTTTTGATGGCTGCTTAGTTTGTGATCATGGATACGAAGACGAAGGGGACGTCCACAATGGCCAATGTAGTATTTTTCGTTGTTATTACAATTTATTTTGTAGATGATGTTGGTTTTATCTTCTTTCGTTGTTGAGTATTTTGGTTGGTGTATGTGCGACATCAATTCCTAAAGTTTTGAAGAGTCTTGCAGAGATTTCAGAGATGTCTTTTATATATTGTAGGGCAACTAATTGTCCCACTTATTTCAAACTTTTTTACTTCACACTGTTTCTTTGTTTGCTTGTTTTTGTTGTTGTAGAAGAACCATCCTCAATAAGTGTTACATGGGTAACAGCAGAACCAACAGAGAGTTCAATTGTATTATATGGAACTAATCGATTAAATATGATGAATACTGGTTATGCAAAACAATTTATCGATGGTGGACGAGAAAAACGTACTATGTATATTCATCACGTTGTCTTGACAGATCTAATCGGAAATACTTTATACAGTTAGTCAATAATGCATTTTTTTCCAGTGGGATATTTAAAAACTTAAATGTCATTATTTATCAAAAAATGAAAATTATTTTATCCCAGTTTTAGACTCTTCAGCATGGCACCTGTATGACCCAAGATCTCTTAGGGTTATGAAGATAGCTCAGTAACCATTTAGTCACTGGAGTGGAGTTCAGCGGTCCATGAATTCTTTCCTCTATCAATTTTGGTATAGCGCTGTTGCTAACCAATGCTACTGGTGAGCCTTCACTTTAACCTGACAAAATGGACCCCATCAGCTATGACTTCTCAATAGAACTTGAAAACAACCATCAATAACCAGCTACAGAATGATATTCGGGCTTTGCGTTGTTGGGATTCTAAGCAATTTCAATGAACATTTCACCATGTACTGATCGAGAAATCTGAGGGTTCTGGTTTCAACCCTTTTGGAGGAATGGTTTCGGTTGCTCCATGTCTAGCAGTTTCAAACTAGGGGGAACCGATGTCTACAGCACCTAAGTTTTCAAAGTTTTTCTAGTTGATTTTGGCTCGTAACGAAATTTGCACTGAAGATCAATCAAAATCCTCAAAAAGCCCGAAATTTGAGCAAACTTTCAGTTGTGGATTCAATGGGCTTGATGTACTTACGAAGAGACCATAAATATCTAGGCGTTTATATCGAGAGTAGATTTAGGAGTAACACTCACCACCGACTTGAAGCTTTCAGTCAAAACAGAAATCTGAAAATAACACAAAATGTCAAATCTAATCTAGAAATACTACTTCAAGCCAGACTTCTTTACGAATATAAATCTGATAGATATCCTGATAATGTAACTCTTAGGCATGACAAACCCTTGAAGCTCCGAGTGATCGCACTTAGGTTCATAAGTTGACAAGGTAAGTTTGTTGATGAGTGTTGAAAATCCAATGACCTGTGAATTCGAACTTCTATTGATTTGTGGATTATAATTATTATTGTTTCCTTTTAGTTCCTAGAGGAACATAGGGCTTCAGCCACTCACGTATCCATTGCGTTCAATTCTCTGCTAAAGTTTTCACCTGGCTCCAGGTCTGCCCATATGCTTTCATCTCCTCTCCACATGATCACCCTCGCACTGACGACCAACTCGTCGCTTCCCATTCGGGTTCCACTCGAGCAATGGCCTGGTGTGTGATGTCACTCACTTCATGGTTCGTTTTCTCAGAGTATGACCAATCCACCTCCATTTCTTCCTGAATATTTGTTGTACAATTGGTTCCTGCTGGGTTTGTTCGTTCATTGTCAGAGATCCCCGTGTTGCTGATCTTTTCTGGCCGGCCATCTGATCTTTAGCGAAGTATTGAGCGAAGACAGCTGTTGATGAAGGTGTGTAGTTTGTTCGAAGTGGCCTTTGTGACGCGGCATGGCGCCAAGTCTCTGATCCATATATTAGCACTGACTTCACGTTGGAGTTGATAGTCCGGATCTTATTTTTCCTGCTGAGTTCTGTTGATTTCCTTCATACAGACTTGAGAGAATTGAAAGCTTGTCTTGCATTCCTGATCCACCTTTCAATATCCTCTCCAGTTCCGTCTGCCAGTAGGTAGGTAGGTAGGTAAAGGAAGTTACTCCTTTCAGATTCCTCCCATTTATGCTGATTGTTGTCTGTCGTTGTTGTTATTGCTGTTGCTGTTGGCCAGGAATCTTCATCAACTCTGTCTTCTCTATGTTCACCTGAAGGAAGTCCAATTTTTGAAGCGTCTTCTGACAACTTGTTGTTTTCACTTGCATATCTTCCAGTTTGTGAGAAATCAGAAATATCATATCGGCGAAATCCAGATTCTCCAAAATTTTTTGTGAGTCCATTTGATGCCTGTCTTCTAGTTGCTCGATTCTCTGTATGTCGCATTTTCCAGTCTACCGCCCTCAATCAGAAAAATCATTGGAGATAGTAGTCAGACGGCCAGCCTTGTCTTACTCCCATCTTCACTTCAGAGGATTCCGTGAGTTTCCCGTTGTGGATTACTTGACACGCAGCATTGTCGTTGGATGAGATGCATAATTGTTGGTGGCACCCCGTAGTGGCGAATTAGTTGCCAAATCACTTCTCGATCGACACTGTCGAAGGTCTTTTCAAAGTCAATGAAGTTGAGATAGAGAGCTGACTGCCATTCCAAGCTCTGTTCAATGATGATCAGATACATAGATTTGTTAAAAAATGCCCGGGAAATCCGTTTTCTTTTCTCAGCCGACAGTTTTCAAGGATACAGATATGAAACCGTATTCAACACTAAAAGTAACTGGGATATTAGAAGTAGTCTTTTGATGTCACGAAAATAGTTTCTTTTTTCACTTAAAGCTTATGCAACCTAAAAGTTATCTCTCTCTTTTATTGTCTTTTTCAGATTATAAATGTGGTAGTCCAGATGGTTGGTCATCAGTGTTACAATTCCGTGCACTTCCATCACATCCTTATTGGTCGCCAAGATTAGCTGTTTATGGAGATATGGGAGCTGTGGATGCCTTGGCCTTGCCAGAATTAACTCGTCAAATTAACAATTTCGACATGATTTTACATGTAGGCGATTTTGCCTATAATATGGATTCTGTAAGTACCAATGTAATATAGTTGTAAATTTTTTATTGGAAATATGCTAGTAATAGAAGGGTTGAAACAATATTTAAACTTTTTAGACAGCAGATATACTACTTATTTCGATTTGTAAGTAGGACACCTTAACCGAAGCTAATCAAATGTACTTAAAACTTTCTAATCGATGAAATTTTGAGTCTACCTTTGATTAGTTGACATCATTATTAATGTGTACCTTCTTGTAGACTAATGAAACGTTAATTAGTGCGTTTAAACATAACACCGGACAACAGACACCGGTTTCCGAATAGAACACACATACAGGTAACCTAAAGGAGACTAGGTTCCCTTTACTGCTGTAAGGTATAGCTAGAACGCATTCCTCCAGCTTTATTGGTGTTGCTTAACTCCCTGAAGGACTGTGACTAGATTAGTTCTAGAATTCTAACCACCAAAGGTGTAGTGTGATAGAAAGAGTGAGCCACCAGCTCATTCTGATGAGTTTTAGTAGGTAGAATGAATATGTCCGTTAGTTTTCTGCCTTCTGCATGTAACCGAATAACGTCAAACAAAACAAAGCCGAGTGATATATATATATTCCTTAACATAAGAACTAGAGGGAATGTCAGCAGTTTCTTTGGACTTTTATGATCATATATCAGTAGTGAATTTTGAAAACTTAGACGTAGAATTTTTAGTCATTTGGATAGAATTAGTCTGATGTATGTCTAGTTGAATTTGCATTATAATAAGTTAGCGAATCAGTGATTATTAGACCGAGTTACAAAAAGAACCAGTGCATAAACATTGTTGATGAAGTTATAGGCCATGTAACACACGCTGAACCTTGAAACAAACAAAATCAGATATTGGAGAAGTGTTCAAATATTACATTATTATTATTGTTGTTCTCTTGTGTTCCTAGTGGAACTTAGGGCTTCAACTTCACATCTCCACTTGCTTCTGTCTTCTGCTGTACTTTTCACCTGCATCCATGTTAGTCCATACTGTTTCAACTCCTCTTCACACGATCTCCTCCATGTCACACTTGGACTTCCCATTCGCCGCTTCCCTTTCGGGTTCCACTCGAGCTATGGCCTGACGCGCGATGTCACCCAGCGGCCTCCTCAGCCAATGTCCAATCCATCTCCACTTTCTCCTGCATATTTGTTGAGCGATTGGTTCTTGTTTTCTTTGTTCCCATAGTTTCTTGTTGGTGATTTTTTTCCGGCCATCTGATCTTCAGTATAGAGCGAGGAGAGTTGTTGTTGATAAAGGTCTGCAACAGGCTGTTGGAAATAAATATTCTTTGTGACCCGCCAAGTTTCTGATCCGTATAGAAGAACTGACTGAATTGACGTTTGTATTGAAAATCCGAATTTTGTTGTTGATGCTGAGTGATGGAGATTTCCAGATTGGTTTCAGGTTGGTGAATGTGTTTCTCGCCTTCCCGATTCTCGATTTGACATCCTCAAATATTATAATACGCCAGATATTATCACCAAGCATCAAATTAGATAATTCAAGGTGAAGCGAAAACTTAAGCAGCGGTAGGATTCAAGCCAATCGCCAGAGCTTTAACACTCACGCGCTGTGCTAGTTGATTCATAAGAAACAGCTGTTAACTAGTACGTCATTTTCCCGAAATCGTCATAGGTAATATCCCGCTGTTATATGGACGAGTGAGAGACAACAAAGCATCATTTCAGATTAATAAAAGAAAGAAAAGAAGGCGTTCAGCGAAGAGACTCTTTTCGGTGAATTCATTCACTGAGCTGTACAATCGCATTTATATGCAATTTTGTTTGTGTGTGTGTACATCAGATTTATAAAGTTTAGATAACTACGTAATATAAGTATTATTTGGCTTGGAAACAAACGTTAACTAGATAGAAAATAAAATAAATTCAAATGTTGGTTTGTAGGGATTTGATCGGTTGCAGGATTTTCATCAGGAGCTGACATTAGTTAGAGAAACACTGGAAAACCTTGGAGTACTGGACGGCTGTTTTGTGCTAGTTTGGGACTCTTCAGTAGTACGCACCCACCGGGATTCGAACCCAGGACCTTCTGGCTACAAGGCGGGCTCGTATATCATTAAGCCACTGGGACCTGATCCAGTGGCCCATGAATTCTAGCTTCTTCCAATTCACGATATAGCGCTACCGCTAGCCAGTGTCTTCGGCGAGTATTTGTCCTCACACCCGACCTGCTGCATCCTACTGGTCACAACTTCTCACTAGAACCCCAGGTAACTACCTACCTGAATAGGACAAGTCGCTAGTGAGCATCTCATTGATATTCAAATGTTGGTTTGTGGGGATTTGATTGGTTACAGGATTTCCATCATTATCTAATATTAGTTAGAGAACCATTGGAAAACCTGGGAGTACTGGACGGCTGTTTCGTCCTAGTTTGTGACTCTTCATCAGTACGTGAATTGGATTACGTAATACAATTAAGTAGAATTCGGAGTAGGTCAAGTTGGCAACAGTGTTAATGAGTGGTGGTTAAAATGAAATAAGGGTGGGGGTAGAGAATAATACAGTTGAAAATTAAGTAAGTTAATCGGATGACGCAATATAGTTGACTAGCAATTGGACGTGAGTCGAGTTAGCAACATTGTTAATGAGGGTAAAGTTTACGAAAGGGTGGGGTAGAGAATAATACAAATGAAGATGTGAAATAATAAAATGCAAAGGACAAATAATACAATTAGTAAGACTGAAATTAAGAAAGATTGCGTCCATTGCAGATTTAATGAATGAACGAATTTCTTTTGTATGCAGAGTTCAGGATTTAGCAGATGAATTGCCATTGTTTCTGCGATGTAAAGAAGGTGGATCCGTACGGACGTATGTCATCCAACTCACTCAATCAATTTTATTTTATTTTCTATCTAGTTAACGTTTGTTTCCAAGCCAAATAATACTTATATTACGTAGTTATCTAAACTTTATAAATCTGATGTACACACACACAAACAAAATTGCATATAAATGCGATTGTACAGCTCAGTGAATGAATTCACCGAAAAGAGTCTCTTCGCTGAACGCCTTCTTTTCTTTCATATGACTGAATGGGGATTTTCAAGTTACTTAATAAAAGAAAGGTAAACTGCATTTCAGTGTTTGACAGCTAGGTCCGTCTTTGTGAAGCTGGTAGACCGTTAGGATAGTATTATGGATACCGCCGATTAAAATCCTATTTCGATGCATTTTCCTAATCCCATCCTCTGTAACCGGTGATTGCATTAAAAAGTGTCTCCAATTATGTTGCATAGTTATAAAGCATGTTATATCTGTGACATTTTAAAAATTCATTGTAGGATAACGGAAGAGTTGGTGATAAATTTATGCGTAGTATACAGCCAATAGCCTCCAGAGTTCCCTACATGACGTGTGTTGGAAATCATGAAGCTGCTTAGTAAGTAATAACTGTTTTACAACTGCTCCTATGTTATCACACTTTCTAGTCTGATTGTATTTTTCTCAGTAAAATGAGTGCATACAGTATTACTTTGCTTTAAAACACAAAATAATTGAGCAAAGGATATCCTCTTCGATAATTTCCTCTTCTGACTCTACAATTATATATATATGTTTATGTACATAGAATATTCAGGAATAGTAGTCAATAACAGTATCAGTGTTTTTAAAGTAATATCGATTTGTAAAGTAAGATCAATGGGATTACAATTCATTGAAGATGCTTAAATTATAATAATAATAACAGTATAATTGCAAATAAAATATCAATTAAAACTAGAAAGATTTCTACAAAAATTCAGTATCAATCAAACCTAGATGGCCAGTGGTGTTAGGATAATGTCTGAACAAACTTCTTTTTTGGATTCCCACAGCCTCAGCAGTATTTAGCAGTCGAACTGTTAAGGCAAAATTGAGATTCGTAGGTATGCGGAATGCATCCAAAATAGGTTAGTTCAGACATTATCCTCACCTTGACCATCTAGGTTTGAATGATCCACTATTTTTGTGAAATTTTCTTAATTTTAGTTGATATTGTATTCGCTATTATATCTTTATTATTATTATAATTTAAGCATCTTCAATGAACTGTAATTCCATTGTGATCTTACTTTACAAATCGATATTATTTAAAAAACACTAATATTGTTATTAACTGCTAATCTAGAATATTATGTGTTGATAAACATATCTGTAATTGTAGAGCCGGAAGAGGAAATTATCGAAAAGGATATTTTTTGCTCAATTATTTTGCGTCTTACAGATGTCTGAATGAATAGGTATTCTGTTGAGTGGCCCTTGTCTTCTGTCGTTACAGTATGAAGGAGACTCTATGACAAGGAAATGAAGCCTGTAGGCGATCGTGAATCCAGTTAAAGTAGACTGAAGAGAACAGGATCAAATGGAAATTCACTTTTGAAGCCTTATGTTCCACTCGGAGCTCCAAGGAATAATAATCATCATCATAAAACAACCACTAGATTAGACAGAAATCTATAAACCATGATGGTATATATACCACTGATCGATATTACCAGTTTGAAACCACTCATACCAATCAGTAGTGGTGCTTGTCAGACAGATCAAGGGGATCCGAACGACGAATAGGTGTTCCACTCGTTTTTCATCTCAGTATATGACCTGCCTGATGCCATAATTGGTAATCAAGGAAAACTGGATAGCTATTTCACCCATTTGGGGCCGGGTACACCATTGAGGGGCCTGACGGTGTCAGGTGTTTAGATAGCCTTGATCTGGCTAGCAAGCAATATTGCACCAGATGAGTGGTATACATCTACTCATCTCAGTCAATCAGTAGTTTGTAGTTTTTCGCGAATATTATTGGTTTTTTGGTTTTTAGTATACGTATCATCTTCAGCCGGAAGCATATAAAAGTTCGGCAAAGTTAAACTTAAGGCACCACTAACTACCAATCAGCGAACGACCTTCAGCGAGCCATTCACGTGAAAGAGGCATATCTGGTTATGGAAAACATATATTTAGGGAAAAAATGTTTCAAAACTGCATAAAAATGTTCCATGGGATCCCTTTCTCTGATATGTAGCAAAAACATCTCCTGACATAATATAACTGAAAGTCACCACGTTCTAAGCATATATTGATCTAAATGACTATAATTTTTTATATTTTGATTACAGCTTGATTCCATACCGTAATTTTCAGTACAAGTACGGAATTTTCAGCATGTGATATCGTTAGCCCAAATTTTGCAGGTCGACCAAAGTAAATCAGGTGTGCGTGGGCAGGGGATCGTACCTCGGACCATGTGCATGGTTGGTGAGAGTCATAACTGCTGTGCCACCAACGCACGTGCTTTGAGATCCATTAATGACCCTAATCGTGTTTTTAATCTTCCCCAAAAGCCTTCTATAGAACTAATGTTTGTCCCTGTAATGGGATCCACAAATTCATTAGAATGCTTCACTCTTTGGTGAATATATCCAAGGGACGGCAGGTAGTTATAACCTTCCCACTCATCCACGTGTAGGATAACACCTTCTCCTCCTCGTAATAACGAAGTAGTTCTCTCCATTTTCCATGACGTGATATCTTTGCATTGCTGGTACAACTGAATTTTCGACAGGAGACTATTTTCGCCGTTTCAGCAGCCACGCCTGTCACAGGCTGTTTTACAACCCAGTAATTACAAAACCTGGTTTAAGGACAAGTGGCACCTGGCAGAAAGTTGACCTACGGAATATAAGAATCGTCAGCTTACCTCCCCTAACATTTAACTCGAATCAAGCGGAACACAGCCTTCAGCTCACGTGGATGAAACTCATTGGGCCATTCAAGGCTATTCGCTGACTGGTAGTTAGAGGTGCTTTAAGTTTAACTTGGTCGGGTTCTAGCTCAAGATCTTCCACTCTGGTGATTTAAATACGAATGATAAATTTTCTTCATTCTAATGTAAAATGTCTTGTTTATAGTTTTGCTTTAATTTTTATGGATGCTTTATGTTTGTCTATTCTGGAATTATTTCAACTTAGTTAAAATTAGGTGTTATGGACTATATTACTCCATTAGTCCAACTCTTTAAAGTGTTAATCTATAAGGATCTGATTACTCTATAGTTAGATTTTCTCATTACTTAGAGAAAAATTGATAACCAAACAGCATTGGATTACTGTTTCGTCCCAATTTGGGATTCTTCTACATTACACAACGTCATAATCAACAGTGATCGAATCCAGGACTTCCGGAGTAAGAAGTGAGCATATGTACCTTCTAGAAAAAGAGGTAGAATCCAATGGCTAATGAATGACACCTTCTGTCACGAATTCTCTTTTATCAGTAGTTTGGTCATAGTCACGTGTTTACGAACCATCCCAAACTAGGATGAAACAGTTATCTAGATCTCCTTGATTTACAGTAGTTCTCTAAACGACTTTAATTTGTGAAGAAATCAACCTTGTTATGAAAGGGTTCTTATCCTTTAAAAGCATTTCATGCGTTCTAAGATTCACCTTATTTTTTTATATATTTTTTTGTCTTTTCAGTAACTTTTCAAATTATAAGGCAAGATTTAATATGCCTGGAGGAGATGGAGAGTCACAGTTCTACAGGTGAATTATTGATTAATTAATTATATAAAAAACAACACCAATCAAAATTCTAACGTTTATGCAAATAGTCATGATTATTTTACCTTTTTATAAGAATAGATTGTTCACTGTTAAGCCTAAGAAAGTACTAACAGAAAGGGAGATTTCGCCAACATTATTACACGTTCCAAATTGATTGACTCGTGTTGGACTGAAATAGTAGGTCAGTTCAAACGAAATCTGAAGTTTAACAAGATAGTGTTGCTATGGGTTCACCAGTTTCCCCAATAGTCGCTTACTTTTTCATGAATAGATTCAAAGATAACATCTTTTCAAGCATACACACTCCTAAAATATGGTCAAGATATGTTGATGAAACTTTTGTAGTGCTAAAACGAGATCTACGCAGTTCATTCTTGGAGAAACTGAACAATCTATCTCCCAAAATCCAGTTTACTTCGGAAGCAGAATCAGATGTCGGTGAAATACCATTTCTAGACTGCCTGGTTAAGAGGAAGGGAAACGGATATTTTAATATACATCTATATTTAGGAAGAAAAACCACCCTAACAAATATTTAGATTTCTTATCATCACACCCCATCAGTGCAAAGGGATCAGTTATTTCAAGTCTTTTCAGACAAGCACACTCTTTGACATTAACGGATGAGAAGAAATATCAAACATTACTGAGATTTTCAAGCAAAACAACTACCCAAGGAACTTCATCAACAAAATCAACACTGACATTAAGTGTGGTCGGAAACGTATTCGGAAAACATAGTTCTCAACAGCTGTCACTGCATATAGACCATCAGATAAGTCAGACGATATCAGAAGAGTACTCAATAAGCTCGATATCAGAGTTTTCTCCAAAACATCAGACATACTGCGAAACAACCTTGTCCATATAATATAAAATGCCTAAGGATTCTCTATCGAATTGTGTCTATAAAATAAAATAATTGGAAAATGATGTGATATAAATCGGCAAAACATCACCAGAGAGAAATCAGAATCAGAAGAAACGAACTCCGTAGAGCATCTGTTCGACCACCAAGAAATCCAGCTGAAATAGAAAAGCTTGAAAAATCATCAGCCATAAGTCAACACGCTACGCTGTAGAATCAGGCCACAAAATTGATTTTGACAATATTCAAACAATCCGGAAAATCTTAAGAAATTACAAAGAACGTCTAATATAAGTAGCACTTCATATCAAATGGAATCCAAATTGTCTGAATAAGAATGATGGACTAAAACAGAATCTGACCTAGTTACAACACCACCCGTCTCCCCCTCATGAAATGACAAAATCAGCACGAATGTGATAAGCAATTTCATTATGTAAACACACGCTGTTTTTATAATTTTACACACTTATCAAATCCAACAATCTACACCTGATTTTGTTATCTTTACCAATTGGCCGATTTGACAACGCAGAAATTACCGCTTGCTGGTGAACGATGAATAAGTTGTTATAGATATGCTGAATGCATTTTGTAAATTCTGGTTTAATAATAGCTAAACGTCAGTAAAAATGGAGATATCGTTTTGTTTTTCATTCACTGGGAAATACAATGAAAACCATTATTATAATGAAGATGTTGTTTTGTTCATCATAGATAGAAATAGCATCAAGGACGTGCGTTTCGTCCTGTTTGGGACTTATCATCTGGATGTACTTGAGTGAGTAAGTGAGTGATAGGGGCGTTTAAAACGATGGATAGTGGATTCCAGTCTCCAGTGGGAAGACGACCATTCAGTGGCGATGGAAGCACATCTAGCTGGTAAATCCCAGATAGAGTGAAACGTACATCCTGAATTCCACTGTTAGTAACTATAACCTAAATAAGGTACTGTAAGACATA